TTTGCTGTTTTAACGCCACGAATTCCAAACGTTTTCAAATCAAAATCTTCATAAACAAGCGATAGTCTGATCTTTTTCAAAATGATCAATTTTTGTATTTTCTCGGCTGACTTACGACAAATGGTGCACTTATATTCAAATTCTCGAAAGAAGTCTACGTAGTCCTTTTTGGTTGAGTTAAGACGGGCTTATGAGGAATGCTGGCATTTCATGATTTTAGAGATATGTGCATGCGAAAAAACCTCTAAAGTGGACGCAAACCGACGCACGCATCTGTACTGCTCGCCTCATTGTACTGTCTGCGTGGTTAATTTGTTGGTCTGCAATGCGGGAATAGTTGGACTGAAAATGAGGGTATCCTTGCGCTTATCACATCCCTGTTGGCTTTACAGTGAGCTTGAAGAAAGTCAACGCTTAAATTCGGTACCAGCACTTGCTGTGCACTAAAGGTGGTCACTATGAAAATATACCGCTAACCGGACCAAAATGCATTAACATGCGCGCACCTTCGCGTTGAAGTTCATAATAAACCGTCGCAGTGTACACATATATGGTGAGGTACCGGATTAATTTACCTTTGACAATTTAGTCCTGTTTTCTATGCCCAGATTGTTTGTTTGAATGTGACGAAAAAACAACACACATGGAAAACCTGTCTTTCCGGCCTGCTTTGCTGTTGCGCTCTGTTTTCAGGCTACTTAACGCTCAGAAACTCTGTATCATTCACTGCTCAGCTCTTACTTGCTGCCTTTAAGGCTTGGGACTTGTGAGATATAACTAGTTACTTCATGAGAACATTGCCATTTACGTCAATGGTGGCCCCGACATTAACTTAGTCTATACCTTTCTAGGTCATACTGAATAACATGTAACATACTATTTGTTTGTGAATATCAATTCCATGTTCGCCTACTTTTCTCATGAATTCTGATATTTTACCATCTGTCCCTCAATTATTATGTCTCATTCCAACTAACAACGTGATGCCTGCACCCAGTCCCTTCATGCCATTAATTTTACCTTGCCTGAATTCTGGCAACACGCTCCAGAAATTTATTTCATCCGCATCGAATCAGTCTTTTATCCTGCTAACGTTAACAAGGAGCTGGCGAAAAACCACAAATTTTGGAAGTTCTCCCAGTTATTTTTATCTCTTAAGCTCAGTCTTTGCTATCTAACCCTCCTGCATATACTCTATATTCCACGTTAAAGGCAGAAATTCTTCGACTTAATTCTGTGTCCGATCGACAGCGGTATCACAAGTTACTCAAGGGGGAGTCACTGGGGAACCAGAAGCTCTCTGAACTTCTACGTCGAGTGCGTTCTCTCTTTGGAGATATGCAGGTTGACGATAAATTCGTCAAGATGTTTCTAGAGCGTCTGGCTGCAGATGTTCAACCGATCCTGGCATCCGGTTCTCAAGATCCCACGGTTTCACAGTTGGCTGAAATGGCGGATCGAATGATAGAGGTGCTGAGGTTCCAGTCGCCTTCCGTTGCCCAGATCTCCGAATCCTCATCGACAGTGAATGAGCATTTTATGAAGTAGATGTCGGTCATGGCGGATGAGATGGCCTCCCTTTAACGACGGCTTGCACGCCTTACCTCCAGTCGCTCACGTAGCCGTCGTCGTTCCCGTTCGCGACCTCGGACTGCCGATACTTGTTGGTATCACACCAATTTCGGCATAAAGACCCGTCGCTGTTCCCCGAAACAGGGAAAACAGTCAGCCAGAGAATAGACGCGACCGTTTACTTTGGTTCTACTGGCTCTGGTAGCACCTTCTATGCTTACAACACTGCGACTCGCAGATGTTTCCTAGTGGATACCGGGACACAATTCAGCGTTGTTCCCCCAACTGCAGTTGATCGTTGTTTCCCTAGCCCTTGTCTGCACCTCCAAACTGTCGACTGTTCCTTCATTCTCACTTTTAGCAGGCTGTTCCTCACCATTAACATTGGCTTTCGTCGGTCGTTCACCTGGATCTATGTGATTGCTGATGTCCCTCATGCAATCCTCGGCTAGGACTTTCTTACCGAGTTCGATCTCCTTGTTGACTACCGACGTGCCCGTCTCCTCGACCGCACAACCGGTCTCTCTGTTCGTAGACTAACTGCCTTTACTGTCCTCACCAACTTCTCTGTCTTGGATACAGATATTGCTAGACCCCTTTCAGCAACTGCTTATTACACACTTCAACATAATAAACCCCTAGTTTCGCAGTGGCGAGGTCCAACATGAAGTTGTGCACCATATCCGCACCTCAGGTTCTCCCGAGTTTGCTCGGCCGGGACGACTAGCACCTGAGCTTTTCCAGGCTGCGAAGGCGGAGTTTAAACACATGCTGCAACTGGGAATGATTCGACCGTCCGAGAGCGCTTGAGCATCTCCACTGCACATGGTGCCCAAGGCGACATTAGGCGACTGGCGACCCTGTGGCGACTATCGTGCCCTCAACAGCGCCATCATTCCTGATCGGTATCTCGTGTCCTATATTCAAGATTTTGCTGGAGCCCTTTTTGGCAAAGCGGTTTTCTCGAAGATTGATCTTGTGCGTGCTTTTCATCAGATTACAGTCACCCCTGAGGACATCCCTAAAACCGCCGTCACCACACCCTTCGGTCGCCTCGAGTTCACCCACATGCTGTTCAGCCTTCGAAATGCCGCCTAAACGTCTCAGAGGTTCAAAGACCATGTCTTACGTGGCGTATCCGTTGTGTACGCCTACATTGATGTCCTCTTGGTGGCCAGCCGGAATAAGGAAGAAGACAAAGTGCATCCTGCCTTGGTGTTTGACCGCCTTGACAAGTTTGGCGTTGTCATCAACCTCTGCAAGTGCGCGTTGGGTGTGCCTTCACTCTAGTTTCTCAGGCACCAGGTTGACTCTGAAGATTTGCGTCCCCTCCTCTCCAAGGTTGGAGCAGTTCGTAATTTTTCACCACCAACTTCCAAACGTCGGTTGCAGCGATTCCTCGGCATGGTCAGTTTTTACCGCCGATTCCTACCGAAATGTGCTGACCCCATGTTACCGCACACCAACATGCTTTCTGGTCCCAAAGGCCCCATCGAGCTGACTGGTGAGGAAATGACTGCTTTTGAGAGAATCAAGAACTCCCTTGCCGACCCCACCTTACTCACGCATCCCGCTCCAGAAGCTCAGCTGTCCCTAATGCTAGATGCCTCGACCGTAGCCGTAGGTGCAGTCCTTCAACAATACTTTGCTGGTTCAACACCGCAGTATGTTACCGTACACACTGATGTCACGTTTGGATCCATTTCATACAACCAAATAGGGCTTTAGAGACGGAAGATCGCTTTACGCTGTGGTTTGAATATTTATTCTTGAAAGAAACTTTCGTCACTTTTGTGAATTATCTTAGCCCGTTATCCGTATGTTAAACGACAGGAATTATTTAAAAAAAAATCAATTTAAGAAAACAAAGAGCTAAATGCAAATTTATTTGCAAATTAAAAAAGACGCGAAAATGACTTCTCAACGTCCCCAAAGCGGCACAGTTTAAAGAAATCATAGAAAATAATTATATTGTTGTAACCGTCTGTCCCTTAAAGGACCAAGGTATCTCGGAGTTCCATTTCAATCGTAAAATGATCACTGACTTCCAAGCACTGTAAAAATATATTCATTCCGTTACAATTTTTATATCCTGTATTTTAGACAATGGTAAATGTACTTGATAAATTTTGTACTTTTCAAATAAACTATTAATTTAAAAACTATATTTTAAATAAAGGTCTTGGTTAACAACGACGCACGGTTACATGCCTTGCCCATTCTAAGACCAAACGCTCGGCAGAAGTTAAATGGCTGAGGCGATCTGGCAAAAAACTGCGAAATTACGTTACTTCCACGAACAATGAGCCTTGAAGATGAAAGGAATATTTAGTAGAATACGTACAATAAATGTTGACGCATTTTGTTCCGACTTTAGCATGGGAAATATTGCTATTTATACAGCTAGGGAAACGATAAGCGACTTCAGGTTACTTAACCGACACAGCCTGCACAACCTGACGCTTAAGGGAATTTCTAACAAACACATTTTATGGCAGCCCGAGCCTTAGCCTCACTGCTTACACTTTTGATTTCAGTTTACTGATATTATTCCGTCTTTCAACTGGCTCTAGGAGAGAACCCGCTCTGGGAGTGTCTTATGATCATCTTAAGTGCCGGATAAATTTTCATAATTAGAATTGCTTACCTGTCGTATGCACATCGTTTTGAAGTCAAAGTGGTGTCCATGTCATCTGTTATAAGCCACTTGTAAATTGCATCTTTCACAAAGTTCAAATGATCTTTTTTTGCCTTTGATAGGTAAGCACAATCGGCATTCATATCTCCAGTTATAATCATGTTCTTGAATAAAAGAAAGATGTGTTGTATTAAAACAACCATTAATCTACTTCTTAATATTGAAATTCGTTACTATTATTATACGAAAGTTCTCTTGCAAACAACCTTTGTTCTATATTTTAATAGTTTGGATGGTAGGTGAGTTAGTTGCCATTTGTTTTGGTATACTACAAAGTAAGACATATTTGAACTTGTACTATTGGCGTAGGCTAAATTGTTTTCTGTTTAGTTCACAACCGACAGGACAATAAGTAGTAAGTGACATTAGTCTAACCAACAGGTTGTGAGATCGAGTCTCAGGTAGTCCATACCTCGGGGTGGGGTATGACTGGCAGACGACGGCAAATAAGCCAGATATAGCCATTCTAGCCCATTTTGTCTTTGTCTGTAATGCTATTCAGCCTATCTCACGGGTGGCTGTGTGAGTGCTGGCAGGACTCAAGAAAGTCCCAAGGCACAATGGGACGAGTGAATTCTGCAGTGCGATCGGTAAATGACCTTCTTCCATCTGATATCATTGCTAAATGCCAAAAGCTCTATCCTTTATTATGTGTCACGTACCAACAAAACGAACAACTTACCGCTTGACTTAAAGGCATCATACACCGCGAACTGATGTTATATAAATATTACATCTCATTGAAAACATTTCTGGGAGATATATGAGTGACAAGCAAAGAAAATTGGTTGATAGCTGAAACGAAAAAACCACTTGCATTAGTAGTTCGATGTTAGACCTTGTTTAAAAAAAATGACTTCTGACTGCTGCTTTGTATCGTTTGAGAATCTGCTGAGATGTAAGTTAAAAAGACGGAGGCCAATTGGCAAGTCAATTTAATGGATCAGTATATTTTTAGATCAGTATAATTTAAGGGTAATGGGCAATGACTTTGAAAACCCTATTCGACTGATGTTGTACAACTCACGATTCCTTCGTAAGCGTTCGTTCAGCTGACAGATTGCCAAAATATTAATATTACTGAAGCTTGCGGTTTTATAAAACACACCATTGCCTGCATATCTCCAGGTGTGGAATTTGTACGTTTATATGTATATAAATAAAGGAAGAGGTTTTTCGGAAAAATCGAGTTTTTCTCTTGAATTTCCGAGATGATAACACTAACCCGACGTCAGGCGAAGTGAGAACAAGGTAGAAAGTTAGTTTGTCACACTACACTATTTAAATTGACAGGACAGACCGACAGTTAGTATTCATGCCACCCAAAAACCAGCATCCTCACTACGCTCTACACTACCTCGAATCAAGGATCCCATTCCCAAAAGGCAAAAACAAACGTAATTTATCGCACTCCGTGCGCGAAGTGCTCCTGCGTGTATGTTGGTCATACGGGTCGACGCCTTGGCATCCGGATTAATGAACGCAAAGTAGCTTTCCGTCGGCGAGACCCCCTGTCCCTCGTCCATGCTCACGCACACGAGTGCGACCACCGATTAAATTGGGATGGCACTGGGATCGTCGCCATCGCTAACACAAAACGAGCAAGATAATTTCTCGAGGCTTGGTACTCCAATGCTAGTAATATTAACCGCCATGTTGACCTGAACTCCCATTACGAGGGCCTACGTTCACGACTTACTGACTCCTGCCCTAATGCAACACCAACAGCAGTCAATCCAACTACCCGGAGGCCAAGTGGCCCATCATCCACTCTCCCCCTCCAGCACAGGGAGCCGTAGTTGTTCCGCCTCCCCTCCTGCTCGCTCAGAGACCTACCATGACTATGTGGCCATCCCTTTCATACGCCAATAGTGTGTCTGTCTTGTCGCGCTAAGTATTATAGTTTACCAAACTAACTTTCTCCCTCGCTTTCATTTCGTCTGACGACGGGTTGGTGTCACCAGCCCAGAAATGCATGAGTACACCTTGATTTTTCCGAACAGCCTTTCTCTTTTTTCATTATATCGGTTCGAAACTCATACGACCTCTGATCTACATAAATATATCCTGCCAGGAATGAGCGCACAACAGACCATTGGCTTCCCGACGCCAACGGGCTTCGTGTGGGCGACAAAGGGCACAACCAGGAAACCAACTACCAGGCCAAAGCCGGCAAGTCATATTAGTAGAGAGAACGAACGGAGCTTGTCTGCTTCGAGAAGCCAATAGATCGGTATACGCCCATTCCTGATTAAATTAATACGCGATCAGCAGCGACAGAAAATGACATGCGGAGAGGAACTGATGAAATTCGGTTCGATGCAGTGCTCATGACCCATCTGGTCGACCCCAGTGATGTACCAACTGCGCGATGTGTGTTTGTGCGCATGTTCGGATTTCTGGTCTCACCTGCTCGTCAGAGTTATAATTGGCGAAATAAGCCCAAAACAGTTCTGTTTCAATCGACCCGCATCCTTGGTCTCCCCTCCTTCCTGTTATATATACACATATATGGCAGAGGTCTTATACCGTACTCCCGATACAGGTTTCAGCTAGAAGCCCAAACCCGTGTTTCACCGATATTCTGCTAATGCGTAACACAGCTGCTGGGGTTCGGCTCCTCATTGGGTCCTCCAGCGTCCTCTATGCGGTTTTCAGTAAATGAACTCCGGAGAATAATTAAGCGAATGATTTCAGAAATTATGCGGTACAGAACATGGAGTCAAGTCTCCAGGACATAACTTTTTAGGGTCAGACCCGACACTTCAATGAGCATTCGGGTCGAAGACAATCAACTACTGTGTAATTACCACGTAGTGGCCATTCTACAAATAAGCAATACTACAAGTAGTGTGAAATACACATGGCAAAGTATCATTTTTGTACTCCCGACAGGCAGGGTGGCCAAAAACCCATATTTATATAATGTGTAAGGTGAAATTACTGACAAAAATGAGGAGAGACTGGAATGGCCATTTCTGGCCTATTAGTAATCTCCAGTTAGCCATTCCCAACCCCAAGGTGCAAAACATCTACTTCTTGATTCGATGACCCGTTGGCCAAAGGTCCAATGCCCTAACCACGGAGCCACAGGCTCGTTGTCCTATCGGTCGCGATCAATCATTTAAATTGGTAGAGGAGCGCTCATCGATTGCATAATGGAACTCACTCGTGTCATTGTGCGTTAGGACTCTCTCCCAAGCGTCTACAGTTCCGCGACGTGACGAGTGAGTTCGGTAATGCAATCGTTGAGCACCTGTCTGCCATTATATAGTTATGTGTGTATCGGCGGGCAGAAGAAAAGTGAATTCGTGTGAATTGCAGTTTAAGGCTTACCATGCGTTACCGCGACCAATCTCAGCCCAATGATGCTGGCGCTGATACCACAAAAACTTTGGCCTTTTTCATCTTTTTTCCAGTTAGTCCGAGGTACCTGTGTCTATATACATTTACCGTGAAAATTCCCAAATAAGATACAATCGCTGCTTACATGAACCTCGTTCTATTTGCCCTTGATTATATGCGCAGGCTTGATCATAGTGGTTGACCTACATTTAACATGATACAAACTTCTGATAGTAATTCCAAAAATTATCTTAATGCATGTCATGCAGTATTTAATTGCATTGCTCAACTGTATGATTACAAGTTGGACTTAGGTTTATATTTAATGAAAGTATATTGTAACAGCTTGCTAACTTGCCACAGGCAATTGTAAGATCATTGCGTGTTTGGTTTCTCTAGATAAATTATTCCCTCAATGTATTTTAAGGAAATCCAAGAGATTTGAAACGATCTTAATGTCAAACTAGTATAAAATATCGGCATAAGGGTTTAAAAATATGGATATATAAACGCACCTCCCATTCCATTGAACACAAAACAGTAGGGCGTACGTTCGATCTCGTGAGTGTGTGTTAACGCAAATCTTGTGAAAAGGCCTCCAACGTCTACGCTGAAAATAAATTGATTAAAGTTAGCATTTATTCAAGCAGTATTCCTTAAATATAACTCCTTCCAACGAATTACGAATTAACGCGGGTCGCGCATTGATTTCTACGTACTCGACAAGATCTTATTGGCGGCTAAAATGCCAATAAACTAAAGCTAGGAATATCGTTCAATCAGAATCTTAATCCATCACAAAACAAGAGTACATGTCATACATTTACAAATTTACCGTTTTACATGATTTAGATTTAAGAGGCGTCATCCCAGCTCTGCCATGAATAATCTGAGACAGCAGCATCTTTGGGATTCTTGATGTGCTGCTAATGCTGCTACTATATCTAGGGTAGTAGGCCACTCCTGCCATAAGAATATGAAACACTTGAGCACATACGTTACATATGAAATGGATGTGCGCACAATAACATGTGTCACTAAACGTTTTCATGTTACTGGAGGTTGTAATTTTACATTCGCATGCACTCTAATCAATCACCCAGGATTTAAAATAAGTGATAGTACTGATATTACTACTATTTTGCTGTGTCCGATTATGTGGCCGCCGTTGGCCGTCAAAAAATTCTGTCATCCGGCAATTCTGTACCTATTAGTATAAATGTGCATATGCAATAGATATTCCGGTCACTATTTACCTGTATATAAGACCATACTGTTCTTTGGAAACTGACTGCCCAAAGCGATCTGTAGTGATTCCTACATATTTGTGCATCTTTTGACCACATCGGGGTGATACGCAGTTGTTGACATAATCCATGAGAACATCGAAAGAAGCTTCACTCTTATCGCGGATTTCCTGTATCACAATGATATCATATCTCCGTATAATCTAAAATTATTTTAGAAATGAAATGAGGTTTCAAAGTAAATCTGCTGGAAATAAATATAGGCATGTTTTCCTTTTTTTACTCACCCTTGTAGAATTTCCATAACGTCCGATTTTTCCGACTTACATTTTCCATATACTTGGATGTTGAAAGACGCAATTTTAAGTGCCAATTGTATTTTGACCAAACCGGAAATTATACAAAATGCAATGAGCACAAAGTTTGCCATTATTATTTTATCCTTTTTGCAAATTTTGGCTAACCTTTAAATAGGGCTCTTTGACCACTGACAATGTGTGCTCTCCAAATTCACCAGACTTCCATAGCGAATCATATTTAGCTAAAGCATTCTGCGAGGCTAATTCCAATGCGTGTTCTTTCAGAACCAATTCCTCAATTCCACGACGAGCCTTATCCATATATCTCTTTGTGAGGCGTCTGTGAGTGCACTCTGACTCCTACGTAAACATTGTAAACAATAATTTAAAAGCAGTTAATGGTTATCAATCAAAAACAGTAATGTAACTCAAGGGCAGTCACGTCACGTGTATAACGTCTTCAGCACCAGATGATGACGTTTGCGTGCGCGCAGACATAACGTGACTAAGAAACTGCGACCAATGAACACTCAGATTACATAAATAAGGCAACCGGCGATGTTTCGGGGATTGCTATCTCGAACATTTTCCATTTCAGTAAATCGACGGGATATCAAATTTTACCAGACCTACTGATTTCAAGATGGTCATTTTTGAAGGATTCACCAATTTTTCAAAGATTCAGCCAGGAAAATGGATTTATTTAGGGACAAGCTACAACTCTCGACAAAGTTTTTTAAAGTTAATTTAGTGCGAGGACATATTACATACAGTCAATGGCCGATCCCATGGAACGTTAGTCAATGTTCTGAATAGTTTTCGATTAGTAAGGAGTACTTCGTGGAGGTGGTTATAGTAATAATCATACGGCATAAGTATGTGATACTTCGGACTCGCAAAATGCTGGTTTTAAATGCGCCTCCTTGCAACCTCCTGTAAAAACTGCACTCACTAAAATAGCTAATCAATTGAATTTTATTTTCTCCATTTATTTGTGGTGATTTTATAAATTTAAATATTCACAATAATATGTTTTCTTTTATTCAATCGACAGCAAATTACGCCTTCTTTACGTTTCATACCCGAAGTAAAGGCATTTTTAGGTTTTAAAACGGGGTTTTGCTTTAGGGTTTATCGATTTTGATCCCCCTGAGGTGTAAACTTTCCGTTTAAGCAAAATCGCATTTCCGTCTATGCCTTGGAGAAGATTTCGCGGAGATTTCAAAAAATTTTGAAGTTGGTGCGAATTATTTTGTATATCCTTTCGGAACATCAATAAGCCGACAGGCGGGATACTGTATGATTGGACATTGCGCGACCTTAAAAAATCTCATAATTTACTGTAATTACTTTATTTAGTGCTTATCGTAGAAAACGTACTGTCGCAAATCATCGTCAATTTAATGTTGCAAAATGAGAGAAATTGTCGTCTAGCAGGTTAAAATGTCTGAAAGAGTTTAGTTTATAAACAAAGACTTGTGGTTTTTCCTTTGTCTATGATGGCCAGAATCATGGTCGGACATTCGACACGTGCCTATGTGCCTTCAGGCTATCCTAAGCCATGGCAACTTCGTAAATTCGCTATGTTTTTCAAGAATATGTTGATGCATTCAGTGACAGAACGCTTTCAGACAAAACTCTGGATAAACTGCTATATAAGAGACGTGACCAGTACCTCAGATGGAGTTGTATAAAATTTTTCAAACTGATTTGAGTAATAAGATCTTTGAATGGGACGCTAATGTAACATAGGCATAACTCTATTCTACGCAAACTCCTAACTCAGCTATCATCTATAAATGTTTCATAATCGTTTCGATTCAGAATCGTGCATGGCAAACAATAATAAAAATTACTATATCTAGTGTAATTTTACATACGTTGTCAAAAATTTACAGCGCAGAACAAGATAGCAGGGAAACATTTCTGACATATAAATACAAATGTGAGTGTTTTAGTCAGTTTAATTAAGAGAAAACTGTGCAGACCGCAAAATGAATTCAATCCTGAAAGGAAATTTTAGCACTTTATCTGGTGTTTTCAGCCTTCATCCACCTTCATGAATAAGGAGTGTATAAAATCGGGTGCGTGGATGAAGTTTTTAATTTATGACTGAAAACGTACCCACTTGGCTGTAGGCTGCAAAGGCAGAACAATTTCCAGCAAGATGGGACCGAGCAGAAGGATCAGAGACCGTAAACTCGACCACTACGGCACCCGGAAATTTTGGCAGTCCTTCAGAATGCAGAAAACGTGTGACAGTTCTTTTAAACAAAGAATACTTTTGCAAAATTTTCGTAACGCCAGATTGTGATTGTACTCATGTGAAAGAACTGACGATATTTATTCGTACGTGCCACCGGAAGATATAAGGAAACTTTGCGGATAATGTGATGTCAATGGGGACAAGAAGCCTCAAAGTGGTAAGCTGAGTACAAGAACAGCATTGTAAAAGCTTAAGCAGTCAATGACTCCCTCTCGACATGGCCAAAACACTAGGGGTTAAGGCTTGTATGCCTACAACGTTCTTGGTACGCCAAAGTTCGGGACACCGGCCTTGTAAATTTTGGCATACAAAAATTGGACGGATTATATTTTATTCCGCTCAACAATACACAGGAGGCTGAGTAGAAACGAATAAAATTCAAGAGTAGGTTTGATGGACATCTTATAAAAGTTCGTTTTAATATCGCTAGTTTTAGAATTTCAGGGCATATACCCACCTATTCTGCGCACTTTAAAGACATTCAGGACACAGTACTCTAAAAGATAGCGACTCCTGGAATATGGCATACGTAGGTCCTGGATAACTTTGGGCGTATTTATATCGTGGCCGGGAATGTTTGGTTAAGGCTGGTGATCATCGGTAGCAACAATAACTGAACATTTGTGCCAAGGGAGGGAAAGGCATCATGCACAGCACCACTGAGCGAAGACCTAAAGATCGCACGATGTTGCGATGTACCAGTTTATATCTCCAGGTAACTTCCAAATCACCAAAAAACATAAAGGGCCTTCCATTATGAAATTAGTGTTGTACAGCCATAACAAAAAGGCAAACTGAGACCACTTAAAGAACTCTATCCTGAACAAATCCACTCGTCTATCATGCCAGGTTGGAGATCACATTAGGCATCTTGTTCGCCAGCCCAGATTAGTTGGTTAATTCATAATTTCGCCAACTATTCTAAAAGAAATCACTTTTAAAAAAGGAAGTGAGTGGTCGAAATGATCAAAAGTCTAGGCAATACCGAAATGGACTATGTAAAAGGCAAAATCATTGTCCCTAAGCTGTAGGATATGATCAAAAAAGAGAGCTGACAGAGAGCGTCAGAATACCGAGCTTTGAGTAATTCGTGTTGAATCGTACTCGGTGGCTACTTACTGCTAAGGGATGCTACCTTCACAAAGTTGCATAGTTCCAGTTATAGTTACGCCCTCTTCTTTCCGTGAAGTCGAGTCCGTCTTGTTGAGGGAGGACATGACAATGGGATTGTGCTGTAAGTGCATTGTCTAAGTCCTCCTAGACGCGCACCGATGCATGGAAAGTTAAAAAAAATTAGAAACACCTAAAACCACACCAGGGTCCTTAGAAAATCCGTACGAAATACTCAGTTGTGAGTTGGGAGCATATAACCAACCCCACATCCATATTGCCCTGGCATGCACACCGTCAGGAAGTGGAAAACGACCAATGCATTGGGCAAAATTATTGTCAATCAGGCAGTTGGAACCCCGATGTACGCACTGGTGTCTGCTTCTCTGCGTTTAAATGTCGATGTGTTAAGCATGAAGTTATTAAACAATTTTAATCACTCTCTACTGGCCACTTGAGTACCTTGCCTAATAGTGCAACGGTCGGAAGGAAATTGCAATTCTGTATCGACAAACCTCCTAAAAGTTAGTGATAAGTTTTGCATACTCATCCAACTTACTATCGATGCCACAGATTATAGTGAAAAGCGATTCTTCTGCAATTAAGATGGTAGTCAAAATCGCCATTTGTGCACATTGTCATCTGAAATTGAAATCCCCTCCTGTTTTCATAATTTTGTCTGGTAGGATGGAGTAATGTAGCTTCACCTGATGGAAAAATATTGCTGGCCAACTTCATGAGTTTGAGTTTGTGTGATTTGCTTTGGTATGGTATTGCTGTGCGTTGAGGTGTGTGTTCTGTTGGCGGCCTTGTTTCTCTGTTGTCGCGTCTGCATTTATCGGCCCACTGCCGGTGGTCCTTCTTGACTTCCGGTCTGTCTCCTCCGTCTTACTTTCGTGTTAGATGCTTTAGGATTAGGGTTTAGGGCTGCAGTTAAGGGCTGGGGTTTGGGTTTAAGGGTTAGGGTTGGGGTTAGCGGTTAAGGGTTGGGACACATGGTTGAGGATTAGGGTCAAATGTTATGGTTAGGGGTTAGAGATTGGAGCTAAGATTTAGGGTTAGAGGGTAGAATTTGATGTTAGGGGTTAGAGTTGGGGGTTGAGGTCTGCGTTAGGGATTACGTCTACTTTTTCCCAACCACTCAAAGTACAACCGCACATTCCCAATGGCTTTTCGTTTGCATACAATAACTTGACCTTGTCGCCTGTGCGATACCTGTGCGGCCCCACCTGTAAAAACCCCTATCACCTTCGGTCCCGTATTACAGGATACTGGAGTTTGTTTACCTCAGGTGCGGCTACATAACCGCACCTCACCGTCTATTTTGAGAGGCGTTTTCGCCAAGTTGGCAGCGGGTTTTTATATTATACTTTCTTTCAGGCAAAATAAAAATTGAGACTTATCGTGAGAT